TGTGTGTGTGTGTGTGTGTGTGTGTGTGTGTGTGTGTGTGTGTGTGTGTGTAAGTTAAAAGTCTTCACTATCACCTTGTGTGAGACAGTATCTCTTGCCTGCTGTGTAGACCAGGTAAGCAGGCTGCTGAGCTTCTGGGAGTCTCCTGCTTCTGCCTCTGATCTGTACATGGGAACACAGGGATTGTGAACATTTGCTACCATATGCAGATTTATGTGAGTTCTAGGAGTTCAAACTCAGGTACTTATGCTTTATCCATGGAGGTATCTCTCTCCTTTACCCCATGCTATTCCTTGAGGCCTAATTCACCCATCCTTATCTCTTCATGAACTAGGTTTCCTGACATGAGGACATTTGGTTTTCTGGTGGTACATGACGTTCTAGGACATGGTACCTTCCTGCTCCAAGCTCCTGTGAGCTGTTCCTATATGGGCTTCAGGTAGTCTCAAGGAGCATTTAAAGATCACAACCTGAGCATCAAGAACTGGGGAGTGCATTGTTACCATCTGCTCATCGCTTCTACACCTTTCTGGTCTAGAGGAACAATATAAATACATTTATTTGTTAGATTTACTTATTTTATGTTCATGAGTGTTTTGCCTGTACACATGTTTATGTATCATATATGTGCTGGTGTTCATGGAGACCAGAAAAAGGCCTGGAGGTCACAGTCTCTAGACCTGGAGTTACAGACAGTTGTAAGCACCATGTGGGTCCTGGGAATTGAACCTGGGTCCTTTGGAGGAGCAGCCAGTGTTCTAAACTGCTGAGCCATCTCTCCAGCCCCAGCAAACATTTTTTTTTAAACACATAAGGTCATAGTGATATTTTCAATTCAAATCAAATATCATTATTCTTAAATTTATATCCCAATTTTGCCTTATACTTAAAAGCATTTTTCAAAAGCACCAATGTTCTTATTTTCTTCACCTGACTATTATATTGAGTGCAAACCTGTGATTCCAACAGCGTAATCAACAAGACTACTGAATGCAATGTAAGTGTTTGTCCTTGGGTTTAATTCTCTCCTGCATTCACAGCCAAAATGTTGAGCTTAAAAAAAAAATCACCCAACAGTATTCTTTCTTTCTGTGCCAATTTGTATATGACTAGACACATCCATTGCAGGTGTTGTGTTCTTTTGCCTTTGGTTATTAGCTGTTACTTTCTTTAAAAATCATTTCACCTGAGAGAAATTGCTAGGGCTTTTTATTTTCACTTTGTAGCCATTTACATTACTGCAGAATCAAAGCTGTAGCAAATGATATTCTGGGAAGTCTATGTTCTCCGCTCTGTTGCTACAACCTATGGGTCACGTGCCTGCTTGAATTTTGCTCTATCCTTGTATGTATGTGTTCATGCATGTGCAGATGCACATATGTGTGTAACGCACATATGTGTGTATTCAGGTAGAGTTCAGAGGTCAACCTCAGCTCCTGTTCCTCGGGTGCTGTCCACCTGGGTTTTGGAGATAGTGTCTTATAGGCTTGAAGCTCACCAGGTGTAGCTTCCTGGCAGCGAGACCTGGAGATCCTCTTGACTCTGACTCTCAAATACTGGGATTATTAGTGAGCATCATCTGTGCCCAGGTTTGTGTTGTTGCTGTTCTTGTTTTTGTTTGGTTTTGTTTTTCAAGGCTAAGCTTTTGTGTGTAGTCTTGGCTGTCCTGGACTAGATTTGTAGACCAGGCTGGCCTTGAACTCACAGAGATCCGACTGCCTCTGCCTCCCAGAGTGCTGAGATTACAGGTGCACACCACCATGCCCAGCTGATTTGTTTGTTTGTTATGTTCTTCTTAAGTTTGGGTTACAAAGTAGGCTCTCACCGGATGAGCTGTCTCCCCAGCCCTCTGCCCTTCTCTTGGACAACAGTAATAAATCTGCATGTTTCCCTTACCTTTCTTATGTGGAAGGTGGCCTCTTGCCTTGCTTCCCTCATGTGATAACTATTGCACATCTGTACGCTTCCTCGTGGCTCCCTCCATCCTTCCGGCAGTAAGCTGGTCTCCCCAGCCTGCACCTGCTATGCACCGGTCCTGCATGTCAGGCACGTGTGTTCTACCACTGCCACCAACAAACTGCCAAACACTGAGTGCATGCTATTAGAGTTCCGTAGGTCACAAGTCTAGCGTAGGTTTTATGGATAAAACATGGCATCCATAGGGCAGCGGCCCCTCTGGAGACTCTAGAGAGGAGCTGGGTTCTGTGATCATTGACATGTATGTAGAAGTCAGTTGTGTGTAGGGACCCTGAAGTTTGGTGTGTGGGAAGCTACCTGTCAGCAGGGCGGTTTCAGTTGCTGAAGGTCACCTTGTTGGGTGTCTCAGAGTAGTCCCTTCCTATCTTCACAGCAACGTGGGTCGTCTTCAGGCTCAGACTCATGCTTGGGTCTCATCTCACTGACCCACTTCCACTGCTGTGTACCCCTGTGATGACTTTAGACTAAAAATTTAGTGTTTTTTTTTTTTTTTCTAGACAGGGTTTCTCTGTGTAGCCCTGGCTGTCCTGGACTTGCTTTGTAGACCAGGCTGGCCTTGGACTCACAGAGATCCTCCTGCCTCCGCCTCCTTGAGTGCTGGGATTAGAGGCATGTGCTGCTGCCTGGCTTAATCTCACTCTTTCAATGTGCTTAGCCTTGTTACATCAGCCTAAGCTCCTAGGCTGTGTGTCCCCATGATCAAAGGGGACCAGGGTTAGGGAAGGATTATTGCACCAAGGAGTCGATCTTAGCATT